AAAATAAGTGTCACAAATAATAATATTTATAATGAAAAAAAAATCGTTTCTTATTCTATTTGGAAAACCGAAATAAGAAATGTCAAAGTGCAAAGAAAAGAATGCATATAACATAAAATATATTTATGAGAATTTCGGAATGTTGATATTTGAGGATAATTGCAATAAAATATAAAGTCAAATACGCTTGTGAATAGTCATGGTGGTGTTCGAGTCAAACAGAATTGTTTGTACAATGTAATTATGCAGGAATAAGGATATTGATCCCGCAGCCCCGCAAGTAAACAATTGTTGATAAGTGTAGTAAAGAAATCATTAAATCATACGTTGGATTTCTTGTCTTCATAAATTTCTTATTTCTGCAAATCGTTATTTTCTCTTAGTTTGTTATCCCGTTGTAAGTTTAAATTTTTGTAGTTTAGAGATGATTATATGCCGTTTTCTAATGCTCAAAAATATAAAGTGTTTCAAAATATCGTCATTTTTAAATCTTTATCGTATGAATTGTTTGGAAAATGGAAAAAATACTTATCCATTACAACAACAACACGAAAAATTATTTGCTTTCAATATATCGTTTTTCTTTCAATTCGTTTTTTCTTATTTTTTTTCATAAAATAAACAAGTTCTATTTTCTTTTGGAATGATTTTTTTAATCTATTTCACTTATTTATTTATATTCATTATTATTATTTATTTATTTTACTTATTTATTTATTTTCATTATTTATTTATATCACTTATTTATTTATATTAAATATTTATTTACAATAATTATTTGCAATAATTATTTACTTACATTAATTATTTATTTTTTCGTTTTCTACATAACAAGATATTCAAAAGACTATAAAAAAAGTTTAAAAAATTCTGCTCATACCTCTAAATGTATCAATTCTCGAAACTGTATTTTCTCAGTTTTTTTTTTCACCATGTTTATATCAACTTGCCTTCGTGTATATCTGTTCGGGTGGAATTTCGTAATCGATTTTAAACTAACTTCCCGACTAGCTACGAACTTCAAATTTGACACATAGTTCAGAATTGGATGGCAATGCATGAAAATGAAGAGAAAAATGCGTACGAAGTAAAATAAAATTAAAATTGAAGAAAAATAAATATTTTCGCGATTGTCTTTTGTTGTCGATTCGATTATTTCAAATTAGTGTCACATGTCAGTTGAAAAGTTTTGTGTACAGTGAAAGAAAAAATTGATTTTGGAAGTGAGTACAAAAAAAATCAAAATAAAATTTTTAAAAACCACGTTTTTGTAGTGGAGAATAATAATTAAAAAAACAAAAATTTTAAAAATGGAAAACGTGGGGAGCATGAAATACATAACAGTACATATACACATAGATATACACATTTTCTTATTTATGCACATGCACAACCACATACACATATACATCCACATACACATGCATATGCACAAACATATTCCACATACACATCTACATTCAGATACAATTACAGATATACATACACACATTCTCATGAGCACACATACTGTTACTGTTATGTATTTCATGCACCCCACGTTTTTCGTTTTCTAATTTTTGTTTTTTAATTATTATTCTCCACTACGAAAACGTGGTTTTTAAAAATATTATTTTTTTTATACTCAAAATAGCAAATGAGAATGAAGTAAAAGGAAAAGTAGGATTATAATATGAGTATAAAATACCACTTTTAATACACAGAAAACTTCCTTTAATTGTTGCTAGAAAATTATACAAGGGTTTTAATCAGAAATTCGCCACCCTATTTTTTATTAATTCATATACCGACCACCATATCTTCGCACTATCATAATTTGTAGATCCGTAATGAAAACATATAAAGGACTTACAAAAACGAAACAAAAAGTCACTTAAATATCAAATAAAGAGAAACTATCAAACAAATCAAAGACTTAATTTTCAAAGCTCTTTCCTTTCTCGGAGACATTTTAAGCCCATCGGACCAAATAGTCACTTAAATATCAAATAAAGAGGAATTATCAAACAAATCAAAGACTTAATTTTCAAAGCTCTTCTCTCTCTCGGAGACATTTTAAGCGCAACGGACCAAATAGTCACTTAAATATCAAATAAAGAGAAATTATCAAACAAATCAAAGACTTAATTTTCAAAGCTCTTCTCTTTCTCGGAGACATTTTAAGCGCAACGGACCAAATAGTCACTTAAATATCAAATAAAGAGAAATTATCAAACAAATCAGACTTAATTTGCAAAGCTCTTCTCTTTCCCGGAGACATTTTAAGCGCAACGGACCAAATAGTCACTTAAGTATCAAATAAAGAGAAATTATCAAACAAATCAAAGACTTAATTTTCAAAGCTCTTCTCTTTCTCGGGGACATTTTAAGCTCATCGGACCAAATAGGAGTCACCCCAAGAAAAAATTGCTTATGCATCATTAAGTAAGACATAGATACTTATATTCTTTTGGTATAAGCCCGATAACTAAAATGAGTACCTAAGTAATGCAGCATGTTTTAGCATTCTTAATCATCAAGCACTTAGAAAAAAAGTATTGTCAAAACTACTAGAATATGATAAAATTTACCATATTTTTGGCTAAATGGGAACACCAAAATGGTCTGTAATTTTTACCGAACGGTTTGGTAATGATTTTGGTAAATATTTAACAATAAAAAGCATGGTTTTATAATTGATAAAATGTAGTAATTCTAAAATATTTTCCCATTACTTTTCCACTATCCAAATTCTATTCTAAAATTCCTATCTAATAATTCTGGTAAAATTACTGAGCTGTATAGTAATGACATATCTGCTAAAAAAAACACTAGTTAATAAAAGCAAAATATATAGTATTTCATTTAATTCATAAATATATAGTATTACCATTAAATACAAATATATAATTTCATAAATATATAGTATTACCATTCATTTGGTAATTTTTCTATTGACATAGTAATACTTTGCCGGAAATTCTGGTTTTAAAAATTATAGTTCTTATTACCAGACATTTAGTTAAAAATTAGAAATTGAAAAGTAAATTTAATCAAGTCAATGGTTTTTATGACGCGCAATAAGATATCATAATAAAGCTACCAAATTTTATCGCATATTATAAAACTTTTTTGTTGGGGAATTCACCAAAACCATGATTAAAGCACTTCGGAAGAAGTTACAAGGCTTTTTGGTGCTCCCATAGAGGTGGAAACATGGTAGAGTTTACCATATTCTGGTAGTTTTTACAAAAAAAAATTTCTCAATACAGCATATTAATTTTCAACCATTCTCGTAAATATACCTTTATTAATTTCCTATGCTTGAAATATGTTGATAATATATAAAATCTCGTATTAATTACTTAATCCTTTTCAAGCGTAAGGATTAATACTTTTCCTAAGCAACGAAGCATCAAGTTATTACAAGTTATTAATTACTGTACCTTAAAAATCAAAACAACTTTACTTGTTTATTTAATGAGTTTAATAGAACATATAATAAAAGAAATCAATAAATTCTAAGCAGTTGAAGTTATAAACGATTCTTCTTTTCTTGAAAGAAAGAAAAAACCTAAACAAGATAAAATTCACTTTCTGAGATGAATGAGGTAAAGATTTAAATTGCAACTCTCCAGTCGTTTCCCGCAAGGATTAAATTCTTGCTGAGAAAGACGAAATTAATTCTTTTCACGGAAGATTTAAAGAAACGAACGAACAAATATCGTTTATAAAAAAAAGAGCCTTTGTTACTTAAAGGTTTCCTTTTATTGATTTGAAAAAGATGTGCAACACAGCTGCTGAAATGTTCTGTACTTGTAATTTTTTTCTGTCCTTTTTTTTAAAACTATCTATGCTCTCAAATGAATGGAACCTTCACTAAGTTATCTCACTTATCTGATTCTAAATTCTTGTCTCTTCTCTTTTAAAGAGATACTTAAGCGCTTGAAAAAAGAACTTAATCAAAAAACAAGAAGAAGTTATTTACAATACTTCATATTGATATCTCATCTCCGAAACAAAAATTTCTAGTTTTGATATCATTCATTATTTTTAAGTATAACCTCCTGTTTATGTTTCAATAGTAGTTTTTATTTTTAAAAAAAATTCAAGTTTAAAAGATCTCAGTTAATTCATTATATTTTTCTACTGAATTTAAATTTTATCAAGTTGTTCAAGTAAATCAATTGTTCTATGAAATATGTTAAGTTTATTTAAAAAATCAAGTACTTTTAAAATTTGCTTAATTTTAATGTTTATAGAAAAAAAACTAAAATTCCACTATCCAATGATGATATATTACTAAATTTAAATTTTCAATATATAATGTTGTTCAATTTTTAATGCTGTTCAATATTTAGTACGACCTAGAAATTAATTAAGGGATCCAAGTAGATTCGGCACAATTTTTTTCTTAAAAAAAGGCTCAATTAAAATTGTAATTTTATGATTCGTAAGCAGGGGTCCTAAAACTAAAACTATGAATTTAAAGTACAGTTTAAATTTTTTTCTCGAAACTGTA